TTATACCCATTAGTATGGTGAGGAGACTCACATGGCACTACTGAAGTCCCGCAGACTCAATCCCACACTGCTGAAGTCTCGCAGACTCAACTCTAGCTGTTGGATGATAGATTTTCGAACTATCAACATCAAACAATACCCAATTGATAATTGGGCTCCACTACATAACCATAACTACCTACTTTGGATAATTACTACATTACACCCAAGCTCGACTTATTTCAGCCCAAGGCCGGATTTATAGGCCCAAAGTCAATTGGAAATCAAAGCCCAACATATGGCCCAATATTCCAAATTAGGCCTAAGCCTTTACATGGTCTTATTCTAATGCCCAACATCATATAATCATTAAGGCCCAAACTATGGCCCATCTATGGCCCAATTATCAAGGCCCAACAATAAACCCAAGTGAAAATTAGGGTTTCGTATAAAAAGACGATTAGGGTTAAGTGTTTCTCACTTAACCCATTAAGGACTTAATCCTCTAAGGACTTAATCCATTAAGTCCAATATTACTTGGATTCATTTTTTCCAGTGATTATTATTAATATCTCAAGTTCTTAAATAATTCTTGTGTGTCCCGATTAATTCCCCAAATTAGGGTTTTATTTGCATTAGGGTTTTCCAATCCAAATACTAGCCCATATATCAATTTGTTGGGCTTTTAGGTCAATTAGGGCTTTATTGGGCCTATTAGGCCCACTTGAAAATCATTAAGCCCATTTGGGTCCATTAAGCTTCATTGGGTCCATTAGGGATTACATGGCGCATTAGGGTTTCAAGCACCCTAAACGAATCAAACTCAATGAGGCAAGCACATCGCATCCCGACACGGCGGTCGGTGGCGACAACCACTGCCCTACGGTGGTGGTTTATTTTTTCCTTTCATTATTCCGATCCGATTACAATTTACAATGCTTTAAACTCGAAAATAAACACACAAACATACTAATAGGCTAACACACACACACAGCCACCCTAGTGGTGGCCGGAGGTGGCTTGTGGTGGCAGTGGCGGTTCTTCGAGAATTCCGGCCAGAAAACACCCAAACACCACATAACTGCAATCAAGAAGTTGATTCTACTGAGCATTGGGATTTTGTTCTTTCATGTGTTGTGCATCGATCCACGGGAGGAAAGAAAAAAAAAACATGGATCGACATGTTTAACATGCAATTAAGGGGTGTCCATTTTTCTCACGTGTGCGTAAATTCCCTTGAGATCGATTGTTTTTTTTATGTGTGACTCATATGGCTAGCGACGATTCAATAGAAGAGAGAAAGAGGAAGTGCCGACGTCGCTGGGAAATGGCAGATGCGGCGTCCGACATTGGCTTCGTCTTCTTCACAGATGCGGTGCAACGACAACCCACTCCGGTCGTTCATGACCCTTGCATCAGCGACAACAACACTCCTTACTCTGTCTTCGACGGTCCTACTTCGACTGTTCGAGATTTCACTAGCAGCGGGTTATGATGGTGCTCAGCACACTAGGTGGCTCGTGATTGGAGAAACAAGGGGAAAGTCGGTGATGGCGCCTGAAGGAATGGAGGGGTGGTGGCCGACTCTTCTTGAGGGATAGGGTTTACAATGTGTCATCGCAACATATATATACCCGGACATTATTACAAATTTCCCATAATTACATTTTTGGTCCCTCCCTATGCGATCTTAACAAATTTCATCCAATATTTACAATTTAAACCCTGAGTAATAAATTTCATTACAACTTAGGTACGGAAATTTCCAAACAGCCCCTACCTTCCATAATCTCTTCAAATGAAGTCCCATAACTTACCATTTACTCCTTGCCTTCATAAATACTTACAAAACTAATCTGGAACTTAGACTTTTAACCCTCAACTTTTAAAATTCTTCACAAATCAATCTGGGACTTACATTTATTAATTTATTTAAATAAACAAGGTGTTATAATTCCGATTCCAACTAAGTTCGTTTGCGAATGTTGGAAATTCCAGTTCCAAATCTGTTATGAACTTTAACAAATGTTTGCAAGCTACGAACATTCGGAGTATTCAACAAAGAAATTGATGAAATTGATGAATTTGGGTTGCAAATCTGTCTTGAACAGCGAACCTTCCAACCACGAATATCGATGATTGATTAACACTGGATGACATTGATGATGGTTTAGTTGAAGAAATCTGGATGATTGTTAAAGGTTGGAGGAGAAATTTTGATGATGAACGAACTGTTATCGAATTTCTATAGTTACATATTTGAGATTGAAGGTTATTAACATATTTACAAGTTTATCACCGTGTCTTTTTATGCTTAGATTAGATAAGTAGTTGAGAATGATTCTCCTATTCTCAATCTTTTTTATTTTCTCAATTGAACTTACCTCTCTCTCTCTCTCTCTTTATATATATATATATATATATATATATATATATAGAGAGAGAGAGAGAGATAGAGAGCGAGAGAAAAAGAGAGATAGGTTCAGATGTTCAAAGTAATTATTGTGTGATTGTATGTATAAATGTGGGACAATCAAAATTAAATAATTAAATAAATAAATAAGGGTAATTTAGTTATTTGATTAGTAAGTTCCAAAAATAATCCCTATAATCATGGTATTGACTTTTAACCTAATTTCTCCAGGTTTATATCTAGAGTCGTTTTTTTTCTTTAGTCGCTCAATCTCCATCGATTACAAGCCCTAGTCGATGATACAAAGTCGTCGCTACCATCGTCCACCCCAAACACCTTCATTCTATCTTCCTTCTTCTCGATTTTGTTTCTCTGACCTAGGACCATCATGGTTACTCTGTACTTTTCAACTCAATCCTCCCTAAAAAATCTAATCAATTCAGCAATTTCGGCCTTAACAGACGAACCAAGCCCTAAATCCTTTTGTGGCGTGTATTTGCTTAAGTGAAGAAAGAAAGAGGAGATTGTGATATGGAGAAAGAGCAGCAATTGTGGTGTCGATCCATGGAGAAAGACGAGGTGGGAAAGGTAGAGCAAGAATAAGGATTTGTTTGTGGGATCGGCTACAGCAGGTAAAACTTCTCGATTTTTTTTTCATTCTATATTCCTTCTTCTCAATTTTTTTCTCTAACCTAGGACCACTGTGGCCATTGGCCATGGCTATCAACCACCTCCCTAGGGTGGTTATAGGAGGCATAAATGTCGATGCAATTTCTCAAACTGACAATGCTTTAGCTTTGTCTAACTTATCACTCAAATTTCTTGGACCTATGAAAGTATGTCTTTACATTTTTTTAATTATTATTCTCAAATCTCAACTAGCCCTTATAGTTTCTTGATGGTATTCTGCTGAAAACAAATTGGAGATAGGCTTACTGTGAGAGTGAGTGTATGTGACTCATCAAATGCTAGTATATACTTTGAAGACTTCATCTTCAAGATCCCAAATCAAGAGGCTACAAACTTTTATCCTTAGTTTATTTGGATTTTTTTGGATTAATCCCTTCAATGGTTGTTTTTTTATGTAGCCAATTTTGGAGGCACGAGCGACTCTACTTTGGCTTGACAAAAACTATCACCCAACTCGTATTCCACCAGAGGTGATATCTAAACTTGTACAGTTTGTTCTTCATGATGAGGAAGAATGGTTCCGTTTTTATGGGGTAAAATAAGTATTAGAGGTTTGTTTGCATCACAAATAATACTTGTACATGGATTAATTTTACATAAGTAATTATGTTCATCATCAATCATCATGTAAACTTTGGCCATGTTTTTATTCAGTTATTTCATATACTTAGAGACAACAAACTTTCTGATATGTGAGATTTCTTTAGATCTAATATGTATTTGTTTTTCATATTTTCATATTTTCAAGCGTTTCTTATGGATTTGCCATACTTGAGTTCAACTCCTTTTGCAACTCCAAGCATAAGACTATTTTTATAAGATGTAATTCGTTTAGAATGGATTAGCAATATATTATATTAAAATATGTATAGTTGTAATAAAATGTATAAGAATGTTATTCTATAAGAATATGTATGAATCTACATTGAGGTGTCCATGAGTAAATAATGATATTGTTATTTTTCAACTAATGGTTCAAAGACGTTATCTTTCTTCAAGAAATTCTTTAATCAAAACATTTATTCAGTCAGAAAATATGTATCCTTCCATTATTATAAAATATTATTCTAACAGAATGACATTCTGTCAGAATAAAATCGGGTATAATTAAAAATTAAGTAATAATTAAAATTGAATTAATTAAAAAAAAAAGAATTTAAATCAAGAAAATTAATTATCCCCAAAAATCAGGAAATTTCTTTTTTTAAATTTATCTCAACCGACTAAAATACTCTTATAGTGAAATTACATGGAATTTCTGAATTATTTTTAATTCAATAGTAATTATTAATCACTTTCTTAAAATAACGAAAATGAGTGGTCCACAATCAACCATACATTCACACAATAATTAGTTAAAATATAATAATCTAAGCATATATATATGCCTAGTCAAATTACTTATTTTAAGTAAGTGATTAATATATATTATTGAATTAAATATAATTGAAAATATCATCTTAATTAATTACAAGGGTAATTTAGTCAATTAATATAGATTTAATAAAGGAAAATTGCATTTTTAAGGGATCATAGACTCTATTAATTTTAAAAATCCGATTTTACGTATTATAATTTTTTTAATTCGGACATTCTGACAGAATATGTTTATGAGTATATTCAAAAATAAAAATATTCTTGAACCATAAATAATAAAAATATTCTTGAACGTATTTCTTGATCGTAAATTTAAAAACTTCTTGTAGAATAACAAATCCTTGAATAATCAATTGAAGAATTAAAACAAAAAACACATTATTTCTTATAGAATACGGGTAACAATTATTAAGAATTACATTTACTGTTAAGGAATAAAAATAAAAAACAATCAAAACGGGAAAGAAAACATCAAAATCTAACAACGACTAATACATTCTAAAAGAATAATGTGGTCCATTTCAATTTTGTGGTCTGTTCTTCAAGCATCTACATCTGCGATTCCAACAGAATTGGAATTCGTCTTTCCATTCCAATAGAATTGAAATTCGTGATTCCATTCCAATAGAATTGGAATCTCACCAATATCATCCATTGAATCATCTACATAAACACTCTTCCATTCTCTATTCTTTTCTACATCGATTCACTATCAATATTTAATACAAAAGAAAAATCACCCCTGCATTCCTTCTCTTCTTCGTTTTCAGTCAAGAACACACCACCTAAGTGTATGTTTTCTAGTGAAAACCTGAATGAAGAGTGTCTTGAAAAGGGTCTCAGGAAAAACAGTGATGTTGGCAATGACAACATTGAGCTTCAAAGATTCAAAAACCTCACAAATCTTGATCATCGTGTCTCTTCTTTTCCTGCATTTCAAACTCACCAATGTTATCTTCTCTCCCATGTATGACACTTACTGTTAATTAACAGTTTAACACAATCATCAATTTGAGATAAAATCATGAGAGTACGTAAAAACAGTTGAAGACTTTGACTTACTTCAATAATTTCAATAGGAAAGGCCCTTAAATCACTTGTATCTGGAGATTACTGAATCCTTTCCTTCTTTGATTTTTCCGTTGACATGAACACTGTGTCCTGATCAAAATCGTAAAACCCATATTCTAATTTTTGAGACTCTAGTTTCATTATCTCCTCTTGAATAATCCTCCTTGGAGGCCACCGATGACTGAGTTCCGTCCGACGAACTTAAATCACAGTATCCGGAAAATGTTTCCTCCAATCCGCCCCAACTGTATTTCCGAAATTGCAAAAGAAAACGATGGATTCAGGTTTAAACAACAAAGAGAAAAGGAGAAGATCATATGATTAGTTAATTAGTATGATTACCTATCGAATTCTTCGGTTTGGAGAAACATACTAGTTTCCCAATAATTTTTACACTCACCTGCACCACTGCTTCGCTGGTCCATGTCGAGAGCTCCGTTTCTAGGATTTGTAATTCGAGAGCAGCTTGAGCTTCGTCGTCCGACTATGAGCCGGAATCGAAACTTGATGCAGACTGGAATAAAGGGGAAATAACTGCTGGAGGGACATGGGTGGGGGTATCGATTTGTTCAATTTAGGGTTTTTAAAAATCAGTTTTTAGATAAAGAGGGAAGGAGATTTAAACTGGAGAGATATCGTGATTATAGAGATTATTTTTGAAAGTTATTAAACAAATAACTAATTTACCCTTATTTATTTATCTAATTATTTAATTTTGATTGGCCCACATTTATGCATACGATAACACAATACTTAGTTTAAACATTTGAACATAGTTCTCTCTCTATCTCTCTCTCTCTCTCTCTCTCTATATATATATATATATATATATATATATATATATATATATATATATATATATATATATATATATTGATGATGATGAAGTAGGAATTACAAAAACGATAGGAATTGCGAGGAAAAATCTCGGACGCTTACTCATTAGATGGATGGTTAAGATCTAACGTGAAAAACGTGAATAACCTTTATAAATATGTGGGTTATTTATGTAAGAATAAAAAAAAGTTTAAGTGTTATTAAATAAAAATTGAAAGCTAGCAAGGTAATTATATATTATATTATTACAAGGTACCTAATTAACAGTATACTTGCTCCTCTTCATATTTTCACCACGAGAGATTTCCACTTTCAAGGTTTGCCATCTTATTTTCATTTTATTGCTAATTGACACTCTGTTTCGCCGACTAAACTTTCTTTTATTTAATTTGAGTGACTTTTTTTGGGCTTATTTTTTGGCACCTATTGTTTACATGTACCATAAAATAAATAAAAATATGTATATCAAATAATATTTACAACTATGTTTAGTCAAACGTTTTATGTAATAATAGCTTCCAAATTAAACATATCCTTATTTCTCATAAGTATAGTTCTTAAATTAACGTGACCTTCAAAACCATGCAGTTGCCTCATTAAACTCCACTCTTAAATGTCAAAAATTAGAATAAAGATAAATACGGTATAAATTCTATTACTTCTCTTCCAACCTACAAGATCATACTAATCAAGTATAAAATAGAACGACCCTTCATTCCAAATCATCACACCAACACAGAAATAACTCATAACGCAGAAAATGAAAAGCACAGATGTTGAAACGATGCTCACCCGCTTGCGCAAAATAATTACAACACTGAATGCACCCGCTTGCACAAAAGAATTGCAACACCGGATGCCAAAGGCAGATAGCAAACTTTTCTCTTACACATAACTAAATCCATGCAGATCTATCTAATATTTTGCTAATTGAGCTACAACATCTATTCCACAAAGAAAGGATCAAACTAACCCGAAACACATAAGGAATAGTAGCTAACCCCCGCATTGCGGGGGACTCATACCTAGTTTGATTGAAAATTGAACGTTACCAACTTATCTTGCGAGCAAACATCCTCGGAAACAAACATAGGACGCACCAAACTCCCTCCACCTCGAAGACACGTGTCGACACTATAGCCACTGGGTTCTTTTGTTTTTCTTTTAATTCTTTTTTAGTTAATAAATTTTTTTTAATTTCTAAGAAAACCAAAGTCTTAAAATTTAATTATCTACAAAATGAGTATAATCATAAAAATTTGAAAAAAAATATTTTTTAATTTTTTTTTGTTTATAAAAAACCCAGAAAAATAAATTCTCAAAAAATTATAAAAAAAAAATTAAGGATTAGTTCTACCTCATATTCTAATGACAACGTAGAAAGAATTTTTCAAAAAAAAGTGTTTTAGATATTAAACTTGATTTAAAAAAATTAAAAGTTTTAAAAAAAATGTTGAACATAATATTATCCGAATAGAGATGATTCAAAATATTTATGATTCAAAAATATTATGATTCAATATGTTTATAATCATTAACTTGTTATTATCTAAAAATATTTTGATTCAAATATTTAATGAGCCTTAATTATTATACTTTTTATTATTCAAAATTAAATGATTCAAAAAATATAATGATCCAAATGTTGTGTTGAACAAAAACTTTATTTAATTTAATATATTATGATCCAAATTAAATGATCTAAATTAATATGATCCATAAATGTATGATTCAAAATATCGATATGATTCAAAATATTATAATTTAATATTTTATAATCCAAAAATAATATGATTAAAAAAAAGTATACACGGAAAATGTTATGATCCTTGATATTATTCTTATTTAAAATTTTATAATTGTTAAACATTAGAACTCAAACCGATATTTAGTTTAAAATATCAAAAAAAATAAAAATAAAAACAAAAATAAGTAAAAAATAAAAACAAAAAAACCCTATTATCTTCTAGTATTTGGTAAAGATATTAAAAAAAACAAAAACAAAAAAAAAACAAAAAAGAAACAAAGAAAATAAAAAAAGAAATGAAAAAAATTAAAATCTTTAAAACCGACCATATATCTATTTAAAAAAATGAATTTTTTTAACAAAAAATAAAAAAACAAAAAGAAAACCAAAATAAATGAAAAAAGAAAAGAAAAACTCATTTAAATGACTTTCCATGAATGTTCGTCGCACATAATTATTTCATCGAGTCTGTATTACATTTCATGCACGTGCGCCGCGTACGAACGCATCACGACCAAGTAATGAGTTTGACGTTTATGTTCTTAACGAAATGTTTGATAGAGAATAATATTCGCGGTTCCTACCAATTTTTGGGTTCCTACCGGTTATATATATATATATATATATATATATATATATATATATATATATATATATATATATATATATATATATACACACACGGTTATAACCCGTGGAAACCATATTTGATAAATTAAAAAATAAGATAGATATAACTATGGTAATTATGTTTCACTCATTAAAAAAATTAATTTAATTAAACATCAATTTTGTTAAAGTAAATATATATACGTTTTTTTTAAATATATGTTTAAAATACGCTTTTAACTTAATTCTCCAACACCACTCATGGGTTCAAAAGGACGGTTATTGTATATCAATCAAAAAACCTCTCATTGGATGACTTTTAGGATTTTTCCAATCCATTGTTACTTTCAAGAGGAGTTGAATAAATGACCACTCTAAGAATGCAACACATAAGTCAAGCATATTATCATTTCAATACATGGGGAAAAGACAAAGTGATTAACAACAAAAGAAAAAAAAGCACAATGTATTGGATTCATTATATTTCTTTCATTTTGCAACATATATTAAATTCAAAAAAATGTTTACCCCTTTGAGTAAGAGGGATCTACATATGAAAATATTAATTTATCAAACTAAAACAAAGTTTAAGAAAATGATGGCCATAAACAGCACTGATGAATGATAATAAACAGTGCAACTTTTGGTTCTATATTGTTTAGAAGGCCATTAATGAGTTGTTGATCGAAGCTTATTAGCACTAATGAGTTGACAAAACACATTTTCTAGCACAATACCGTCATACTTACATGTGATTAGCTTTAAATATGTATCAATGAAAATAAAATTGTATAGAATCCAAGAGAATTTCCCCTCACTCCTCAATATTGCCTGCACAAGCTACATTTGAACACCTATGGAAGTAAATTATGAGAGAGAGAGAGAGAGAGAGAGAGATGACATAACTCAAAACTAATAAAACCAAAGATACAAAGTAAATTGGAAAGAAGACGTGTAATGCCATGCATCAGTTTTAACATATTACAAACTAAAGTGGTTTCCTAATGTATCTTTTTTTACACTGCCTTACAACCAAAACCAAAAAATATGAATTGATATTTTCATGGATGCAAGCAAGAAATTATATAAAAAAGTAAGAAACAAAAGGTTAAAACAAGTGATTGCTAGCTATTAGTTAATAGAGTTACCTTACTACTATAAAACCTATAATATGATTATCTCTTAAAAATTTATAGAATTATTTATAGCTGTGGCCATTTCAACATCCCATCCTTCTAAAAAGAAGTTCAACATGTATAAACTAACTATTTGTCATCACTTCTCTTGTAAACTCCAGATTGTTCATTCTTGTGGCATCAAAAAGACAACTGGAACAGCAATATATATATATATATATATATATATATATATATATATATATATATATATATATATATATTATTTGATATATGATAAATCCATTTAACAATTACTCACAAGTAAAGTCGATGAAATTGATTCTTCCAACTACATTAGCACCTTCTCTACCAGCTCAGAATCAATCTTTCCTCCCTCGAAACTTTATATTTCTGGAGAGCAAAAATTTTATGTTTGAAATTACTCATTGATAATTGAAATGTTGAACTCGCTTAGTTATAGGTAATTATTGAGCGAATCAAGGCCATATACATGGAAATTGGAAAGGGGATTACTCCATGATCGCTGGCTGGTAAATCGGGATTATGGAAATATAGTCTAATTGA